CAGTTTAAATCTCCATACATTGGCTCAAGTACACACTAAGCACAGGAAGCTTGGTTACGATCGATCGTTTACAAATAACCCTTACAAACAAAATGTTTCTATAATTGTGTACTTTATCTTTACCCTAATTGCGCTCTTTAAATTATTAAAAATTGAAATTTTTATTTAATAGGAATAAAATTAACCGAAACGTAAATAGAGGCTTATCTGTGATCCTCCAGTTACCAGCAACGAACGAGTCGGGCAAGCTCTAAGATGGCTGTCCTGTATGCTGCCTACGGGTTCACCAGTCAGTGGGATAGGCACGAATGCTTATCACTCTTGGACGAGGAGATATGCACTGCAACGTCCTGAACCGAGCTAACTTGAAGACTTGAAGAATTCTTGGGTTGCACAATTCATAACACGTGCCGTCCACGATGTAAGGAGGCACCAAATCCAATTGCACCGGAACTGGGGAAGCCAGTACCAAATGGGAAGCCAAAACCAGTCCAACAATCAAAAACTGGTTCCAAAAGGAAAACCAAATCCAAAACCAAAATCAAAACCAAAGAAAAACCGCCTGATGATCGTGGGTGGTGGTGAAGAGTGCCAGGTGCTAGGTTGGTTAGCTTTAATCCAGCCTAAGCTGTAATGTTGGGGACGTCCAAGCAAAATACTACCAACAAGACGACGATCCGCAACTTCTATACAATTTCAATCCGGTTTAATCCCCGAAAACTACGAGATGCCACAAACTTATTCGGATTGAAATCTTGCAACTATTTGCACCGGCGGAAATCGTAGAGCCAAAAAAAAGAAAGACCGATGAAGTTTCACAAAGTTCCAATTTCAATTCAATTCAATGATGCGTTTCACAGATAACTGTTGGGCACGACTACCAGGATCATTCGCCCATTGCCGACTTCCGTCGAGGATTCTCGGATCTTCTCCAGGACGGAGACAGAATTTTGAAGTTCTAAATGTCGAGGATTTTCGTATCTTCTTTGGCGAAGAAGGCTGATTTTTGAAGTTCCAAATGTCGAGGATTGTCAGATCTTCTCCAGCGAAGGAGACTAAACTTTAAAGTTCCAAATGTCGAGGATTTTCGGATCTTCTCCAGCGAAGGAGACTAATCTCAGAAGTTCTAAATGTCGAAAGTTTTCGGATCTTCTCCAGCGAAGGAGTTCTTCTTTTGAAATTCTAACTAATATACATGATGATTAAAACCAACCCATAGACCATGAGCTAGCAAATCCAAAAGCGGTTATAAGCAGATACCACATGCATCAAGGAATCTAACCACAAGTCGTGCAACAGAATCCATACATCCAAGGTGAAAAAGTGCAGAAAAGGCACTAATAGGAGCAGGTAAGCTGGCATCAATGAGGGACTCATACAAAATTTGGGAGTTATTCCGATGCAGAGCACAATCAAACAAAATATGTTCAATATCTCCCACCCCTCCACAAGCACACAGGTTAGATATTTTGACGTTTATCTTGTAAAGATGTGCTGGGGAACTACAATGATTACTCCTCATTCTGCACACTGTTGTAATCTCCTTTCTAGACAGCTGCAGTTTGTGGAACCATGGAACTGTTGGAGGTGTCTTATAAACTGCACTATAAAGTCTGCCCTTTGAACGGCCCCACTCTCTCCACTTGATGGCCCAGATGTGCCACATCTTTGCTCTAATTATCGGGATAAATTCACTAAAAGGGGGCCTTAAATTCAGCGGGTCTAAAAGTCTAGCTTCTGAGGCTATTCTATCCACCGTTTCATTATGTCTTATCCCCGAATGGCTTGGAATCCAGCATAACGATATTTTCCGCCCAAGTCTGCGCTTCAAAATATCAATCTTTGCTTTAATATCTAGTAGAATGTAGCTGTTGGAAGCTTCAACCGCACTGCATCCGAAGCTCTGCAGGGCACTTTTGGAATCGGAGACAATTACTGCCCGTTTAATATTATAATCTAATATAAGATCTAGGGCGTAGCTAATAGCTACCATTTCTGCAGAGCAAATACAAAACGCGCTATTCAACCCATGCCCGACCCTAACATTGAGAGACGGAATAAATACTCCAAAGCCAACTCTATCATCTGGTCCCTTAGAGGCATCGGTAAATATAAATGACTCTTCCCCGGTCCACATTTTAGAACAAAGTTCCCGAAACTCAGTTTCATTTAGACCCACCCCTTTCTCAATTTTGGAATCAACAAAATTAATAGGCGTAAGCTGAGGGGCCAGCTCCTTATTAAAACACGCTAGAACGTCTCCACTATCGATAATATTATGATATGTGGCGGTGTAGTCAAATGCCTCAACTAAGGGTAAATTCGCCTTCCTTCTAAAAAAGTTATGATTTTCTTGATAGGCAATATATAATCGTTGGGTAGCTAAGAAACTAGGATTATTTCTGATTCTAAGGGACTTGACCAAAAACTTAGAAGCCAACATAATCCTCCTCACCTCCAAACTTGTTTCACAAGCCTCTCCCAATAAAATATTAATTGGAGTTGATTTCATCATACCCAATGTCACTCTTAAAGCCTGATATTGAATCCTATCCAGACCAGACAGGGTTTTTTTCCCACAGCACCCCAGTACCATAGAACCATAGTCAAGATGGGAACGCACAAAAGCTTTATAAAATATCAGAAGAGTAGACGGGTGGGCTCCCCACCATGTCCTGGATAGAAATCTCATAATATTAATTCCACTAGCTGCCTTGTGAATCATTCTGCCAACCTGTGGAACCCACGTAAGCTTAGCATCAAATGTAACTCCCAGGTACCTAATTTCATTTTTCCAGGGAATATATACACTATTAATTACCAAGTCGGGAAGTCCAACCAAAGCAGATCTAGAGAATAAAATAGCAGACGACTTTTGCGGACTAAGCTGCAAGTTAAACCTATGCATCCAATCAGTCACTGCCACCAAGGCTTTATTCATCAAGTCTATAGCAAAGAGGACATTGACATCGCTACATAGAAGAACAATATCATCCGCATACTGGAAAATAGAAACCCTATGAGGAATTACTAACTTAATTGAATTTACGTATATATTGAATAAAAGAGGCGCTAAGGGAGATCCCTGAGGGACCCCCTTACTGGTTGATCTAGGTCCGACCAAAAGGTGCCCAACAGCATCCTTAACAAATAGGTTCCTATTGAGGAGAAGTCGATTGATTATCCCTATAGCATCCCTAGGTATACCCTGCTTATCCATCTCTTTTATTAGCGTGGGGATGTTAACATTATCATACGCACCCACAATATCCAATGCAACCATAACAGTAGGAACACTTTTGCTCTGAGCACACAAAATATGACTTGTTATGATGGAAACATTATCCATAACGGACTTACCGCGCCTAAAGCCGGTTTGAGATTCTGATAGCAATCTGTGATGTTCAAGAAACCACTCTACTCGGCACTTTAATATTGACTCCAGCACTTTACCGAATGTAGATGACAAATTAATTGGCCTATAAGAACTAAGAAGAATAGGATCCCTAAACGGCTTTAATATTGGAACAACCAGCTGCGTCTTCCAACTATCAGGTATACTGCACTCATTTCTCAATAATTTGTTGTAAAAATTCACTAAGAACACGGCTCCCTCTATTGGTATATGCTTTATTAACTCAAAAGAAACTCTATCCAAGCCGGGGCATGTGTTTTTACGACTTCTAACTACAGCGATAAACTCATCAAGAGTGAACAAGGGAGAAACTGCAGTGTTGTTATCCCCCTCTAAACTTGTCTCCTCAACGACACCATCGGCATGACCCACTAAGGAGTCCAACAATTCCGCCGGTACTGAAAAGTTAAGTGGTAGGTGACAATTAGCCCGGTTAATAGCCTTTGAAAATTTTTTCACACATTTCCATACATACCTAGCACTCTCATTGGGAGATAAACTCTGGCAAAATTTTTTAAATCCCGCCCTTTTCTTTTCCCTAAGAAATTTTCTACAACTGGCCCGAGTTCTTTTTACATTAACATAATTCTCTAGAGTAGGGGAAATTTTATAATTTCTAAAAGCCTCTCTCTTTTTAGCGATCATTAACGAGCACTCGTGATCCCACCAAGGAAGTCCACATTTACGCCCGCTCTTATGAAGGGGTATGGAAGCATCAGCCGCGTCCATGACTACCTTATAGAACTGGTCGTATGACGAAATAAGGGGGTTGCTTAAACCAATACTAATCAATTCAGAGAATTTGTCCCACTCTGCCTTAGAAACATTGTGCTTCAGGAGATACGCTTGAGCAGGATGATGTGAACTGTCCGGTTTACACCGAATATGACACAATATCGGAAAATGATCGCTAAACCCTCTGTCGAATAACACCCGGAAATCAACAACATGAGCCAATTCGTGTGAACCAAATACCAAATCGGGGACAGAACGGGATTCATTCCCTGTAAATCGGGTGGCAGACCCGTCATTAAAAATAAAGAAGTTGTTATCGTTAATAAAGTCTGATAGTAAAGAGCCGTTAGCCAGACCGACATAGCTTTTAATTGTAGAGCCCCACTCTTCATTATGAGAATTTACATCACCAGCAAAAAAAACGGGTTTTGACCTAAGTCTATCAACCAAAGTATCTAAGAACAAACGAGACATAGGAAGGTCAGGAGGATTATACATCGAAACTAGAAAAAGGCTGTCCATCTCCAACACTATAACCTGACATCTATCTGACCTGGGGATATCTGACACATCTAAAACATTATACCCGATGTTAGAGCGTAAAAAAACAATAATCCCTCCATACCCATCCATACGATCGTCCCTGACAGAGGAGAAACCAGACAAGGAAAACTTGATATGTGGGAGTAAAAAAGATTCATTAATCATGACTATATCCGGACCAAAGTCACGAATAAGTCTAATAATACTATCACGATTACTTCTAATACCGCAAGTGTTCCAGTGAATAATTGAGAAATTACTAATTTTAACAGAAAGATTTGACTGTCGATCTGGGAACATTAATAAATTAAAACCTGCATCCTCCGGGAGGAGGCAGGGAGTCAAAAAGACTCTCAATTTCATGGTAAGCACTTTTACTAGGTATATTGGACAAGACTTTTTTCTTTAAATTTTCAAACCGATACCAAAATTCACCAGAGGAGGAAACCCCTGGAGAAGCAGTGTCCATCTCGGACTCTGACGATAAATCATTTAAATATGAGGGAGAAGATTGACTTTTGCTAGTGTGATTCAACTTCTGCCTAGTCAACGGCGGCACGAGACAATCCCTGTGGGCGTCCCTATCATACCCTGATTCTATTTGGGGGGACTTACGCTTTTTTGCTATGACAGAATAAGTTTTAGAAGCAGATCTAGGGGAAGGCTGAGAAACGGGGGCAACCGTGTTATGAATAGGAGGGAAATTTTTAATAGAGCGATTAAACTCACTTGATTTGGGGCCTCTTGGAAAGAGTTTGGCCGCTTCAAAAAAGGATAAGTTGTACCATGCCATAGCCTCATTGATTTTCTTCTGTCTGTCCATTTCCGGACATGATCTATCAGTGGCCTGATGAGAGCCTTTACAATGGATGCAAGTTGGCTTTGGAGATATTTCGCAATTACCCAGGCTGCATTTACCTTCATGATTTAAGTGGTCTGTCGGGCATGGTTTCTTCTTATAAAACTGTTCTTTCAGTTCACAATGAAATACTGGATGATCTCCAGCGCAGAAACTACATCTACCCTTGCTTTTACATTGGTTTTTCCAATGACCAAACCTGCAACAATTCATACATAAGACAACAGGACTAACATATTTTTCGATTGAACACTCATTTTTATAGATACTGATTGATTCTGGGAGAGTTTTACCGTCAAATGTTATTATATAATCATTAGATGGAACTGTCTTGAAACCAAAAGTGCCAGGCAGAACACCTGGGCATTTGACCCTTTTAGTTAGTCTGCGAACATTAACAATCTTAACGCGCTTTAGCGATCTTCCGATGTTAACCTTGGCTTCTGCCTCAGAGTAAAAATCATCCTCATCAATTAAGTCACCAATGTCCCTCACCAACCCTCGGCAAGTGACTAGTCTTTGAGGTATATACTTATTATACCCACCAGCTGTCGAATATGTTTCATTAGATAAAAATTTATTTGCAGACTCAGAGGTGTTAAACTCCAAACCGATTTTATTGGCTCCTTTTCTAGAAATTTTCAATATACCTTGAACTTTCTGCGCTTGAAGTAACTTCCCAAAGTTCATAGGATGAAGAGTCCCCACCTTACTTGTAATCCCCTCCAGAATCACCATAAAAGGCCCCTGGTCGGTGATTTCATATTTTGTTTTCCGATTTACTGTCCTTCTTATGTTTGCGGAGATTTTGGCAACTTCCCGCAGGATTTCAGCGTCTTGCTCGAACTGATTCTTGATAATCTGGATCTCTGCCGATAACTTTGACAACTCTTCACCTGAGGGCACATCAAAATACTGGAGCCTGGAAATATCTTCAGCAGTTTTTTTGCAATCCGGTGGCAAAATGTTACAAATAATGGCGTTCAACGGACGATTTTGAGAATCATTGGATAAACTGTCATTTTCTTGTGCTGCACTAACCGTCGGGGGGCCCTCGCCCCCCGAAGAGTCCCCCATGGTTGAGGTTAGAGGGCCAAGAGGAGGAAACTACCAGCCACAAAAACTGATATATAACTGGATGCGTTAAATGGACTCACCAAATAACAGAAAACAATAAAAATTAGGGCCGATGCCTAAAGATTTGCACAACAATACTCAGGTAGTGTTCACTCCTTCGCTGTTGTACCGAAAAAAACCACAAAGTTCCAAAAAAAAAGAGACCGATGGTGCTGGCAATACGATGTTCGGTTCCGACACGACTAGGGTCAATGGGCCAATAATGACAGAAGTTAATCAATGCAAGGAGACTAAATATTACCTAACTACTACCCGCTATTACCAATAATAATCAATTATTACACACACATGAATGAGATTACACAGTAACGTCTTAGGAAATTGAAGACGAACGTGGGCCAAAGGTCGAGTGCTTAACTGTGCTAATGGCCGAGTGCATTCGCGTTGACAGAGGATTGAAATATAACCTCTCCAAAAAGCAACAAGTGTAAATAAATGAATGCAAGGGACAAGAATAGAAATTGGCGTTAGTTCGGAAATAAGAAGGAATACAGGACGATCGTCTCGTGCAATCCAACCGCATTCCGCAGTAACATCTTAAATTGCAGCAAAAATGCAAGGACTTACGCTTATTTACATTTATTTTAGGACAGGCAAACCACACCAAGCAATTAAACAGTTACAGTGTGTTCGAACAGAATGAAGTAGCAATACCAGGATTAAGACGGTGTGTAATTGTGAGAATAAAACATTTAATAGGTAGTCTCCGAGCATTATTAACCTACATGTGAGAAACATAAGTCGAAGTAGCCAATGACAAATTGAACCCGTTACAGCTTTTTTTGAGATTGTCGGGAGTCATAAAAAAAAATTTAATCTCTTCATCCTCAACATCTATTTTTCCATTCCATTTACTGTATTGCATTTTCGTTTTTCCTTCGATCAATTTCTAATATCTTTAGCGTATCGTGAAATTGCCCAGAGAGAAAGAGAGCGAGAGAGAACACGTATTTACCGATTTTACAGTAGAAGACGGTATCTGGAATTATTATCGGAGACTTTCCACGTTTTAAGGCCGATCGGACCTGCACCGCAGGTTTACCATTTAATTACTTTAAAGTATAGATTTTAATGGGCGATGGTCGGATTGTCCTAAACGGTTGAATGGGCGCGGGTTATTCGAGCCTGGGTCTTTGTGTCTGGCGCGCTGGGGACGCAGCAGAAATTGCGCGATTCGTTTATTTATTTAAAGAAGTCTACCTAACAGGCATGAAGCCCAACTATCAGGTAGATTGCAGTACAAAGTACTAAATAGTTATAATACGACAAAAAATATAGCGCATTTATTACTTTGACGTTTTAAGTCGGGCCGTGGGGAGGCCCTCGATTCAAAATTCGTTGAACGTTCTGAAGGAAACACTTAAAATGTCACTAATCCCACACACGACACAGTAGGACGAAGAGGACAATCCTGTTTGTGTACCTTGTAATATTTGGACAGACCCCGTTATAGATAGTAAGCCTTTTTGCGACAACATCATCAATAAATTTAAGTTGTTTTAATCTTATAATAATTTTATGGCAATTGTTTTCTACAGATGTGGTTCGATCTTTATTTATTTTAATATGGAAAGTTTTTGACATAGCTACAGTGACATTGCCTTTATCAGATTTGGTAATTAGAAGATGGGGGTTAGCCGGCCCGTCTCTCTCGTCTTTATAAGGAAATTCCTGGAGATGTGTTACATCAATCTTTGTGACAATTGTGTCAATCATAGGAAAGATGTGGACGATCTTAGTAGTATTTACAATTATTTACTGCATCCAAAATATACAAACAAATCCATCACCCCTGATAATTTCGGGATGGTTCATTATTTTTTTTATTCTCATTCTTATTCTAACAACTACGTTTTGTAAACTATGCTCTAAGTTCTACCGTATTTTCTCTATAGTCGATTCTTTCCTTCATAATATATTCTATGTTATGTAAAGCCTATGATTCTCTGCTTCCGTACCTCGGACAGCCGTCATCCTGACCAATGGTTGCTTGTTAGTTAAACTGTGATTTTCCTATTTTAAAACGCAGCCATAATTTGTTTGTTTTTTAAATCAGACTGTTTTAAGTTGTTATTGTTCGTGCCGTTGTGTGTAATACAATCCCGACGTCTTTTTGATCGCTTTTAAATCCATTTCATGATATTGATGTTCATCCACGAACGGGATTTGTAGTTTTTAATTTTCGATGGTATATTTAAATTGTTAACCTAAGCATGACTGCCACGTTTTCGTCGCTTTTGTCGGTCTCTGCTTTGGAGTATGTTAGAGGTTGATATCTTTGGCAAATTGTGTAAGTTTACCAGGTCATTTATGACTTTATATTCCTCGTTTCTGATGGAATTTTTTCTCATGTTCTTAGCTGTCCTGAGGAAGCATTCCATGCATATGCGGCAATGAATACATTGGAGAGACCGGACGAAAAAGATCAACTAGACTCACAGAACACGAAAGAGCCTTGAGACTAGGACAAATAAACTCATCAGCTGTTGCTGAACACACTCATGAAACCGGACATAAAATTTTATTATTATCATTATATAATAATAATAATAATAACAATAAAATTTTATGTTCGGTTTCATGGAATTTTGTCTTTGACGGACCGAAGATGTTGAGAGATTTTTGGACAAGTGGTAAATCTGGTTTTGACGTTATACTTCTTTAGAACTTTTGATATGTGGTCAGTGATGTTTTGAATGTAGGGAAGGACCACAGATAGCTTTACGGCTCTGTAAACAAGAGAGTTGGTAACTGATGATTTTTGGGCCGGATGGTGGCCATGCTTTAAGGTATCGGTCTGTGTGCGTAGGTTTTCTGTAAACCCAATGACCCAAAGTTAGGTCTGATTTTCTATTGATAAGAATATCTAAGAATGGAAGGCTATTATTAGTTTCCAACTCAATGGTAAAACGTATGTTAGGGTGTATAGAGTTTAAATGTCTAAGAAAATTTACTATGGTTTCTTGACCATGAGGCCAAATAACGAAACTATCATCGACGTAGCGTTTCCACAACTTTGGTTTTAGATGAAAGGTGTCGAGAGCTTTCTTCTCAAAGGCTTCCATAAATATATTCGCGATTACTGGTGATAGTGGGGAATCCACTTCCCGACTTTTGTTCAAAAATTTGACCGGTTTGGTTCCAGATTCTCGGACTTTAATATATCTGAAATGATGTCGAGGGTTTCAGGAATAGAAACTTCGGTAAAGAGGGATTCTACGTCGAAACTAACTAGAATATCTTGTGTATCTAATGTAGAGCTTTTTAATTGTTCAATGAAGTGAAAGGAATTAAATGCGAAACTGTCAGTTTTCCCTGTAAGAGGTTTTTGCTAGAGAATATGTTGGGGAACCAATAGTGCTGACAAAGTTCGAAGGGGTAATCCTGATTTGTCAATCTTTGGGAGAGCGTAGAGACGAGGAATTTTACAGTCACGAGGGGTGAAAGATTTTTTCACGGAGTCTGACAGAGAAGAAGCCTTAATAACAGATTTAAAGTTATCATCTATGGATCGCAAAGTATTGCAGTAGCCAGTGAAAGTTTCTTTGAGAAATGAGACTACTTCCCAGAACAGCTGGAAAAACACTGTTGGACAGAGGGAGAAATGAGATCATAATATTGGTACAACTCGGCAGTCTAACTATCAGAGGCGACGAAGGAACAGGCGACTCGCCTAATATGAAGAAGAAAGAAGAAGAAGAAAAAGAAGAAAGTGATGTGTCGTTCTGTCATCGGCAGAGGCGGCCGCACGGGCAAAAAAAATGAACTTTCCGCTGTACTAACGAAAAATTGGACAAAACGAAAATCATCGTGTTAAAGATAGAGAATCGAAAAGAACCTATTTCAGACTTCTATGTGGTATATTTGGGGTGCTAGAAGCTAACAAAAAGGAACAAGTGTCAGATGTGCAAATCTTAAACTCCGAAGTTAACTCTTAAATAACTAAAGTGGCTATACAGGATGTTCGGAAACTTGGACTTAAACTTATAGCTTATTAAAATTAAGTTTTATAACTAATAACTAATAAGCTGGTATTGGACACATGATTTAGTAAAAGTCTAAGTTACAACATAAACGTGTTTCAGAAATCTGTCAATAGATGGCACTTTGCCTAGAACAAAAATTTTTATATTGCAAAATAAAACAGATTGGACCAAAGAATTTGCATATATTTTTTAGTAAAAAATATATGACAACGTCATATGGTACATCTACTTTGAGGGAAAAAATGTTTATAAGTGATTAAGAACCTCGCTCTGGACGCCCCAGCACATCAATAACCGACGAAAACGTTGAAGAAGTCAAATAAATGGTGTTGAAAAATCGTCTAATCACTATTCACTCACAATCACTAAAACGTCCTAACTTGTGACGAATTATGGGTATCGAATCGACAAAAACTCTCGTCAAGTTCTATCAAATGTCAAGATTTAGCTTGCTGTTGACCAAAAACAAAACCACAGCCATGCCTTAGCCATAATATTCACCGCATATGACCCCATGTGACTTTTACTTGTTCCCAAAACACAAGAATCCAATGAAAGGAAAGAGGCTTGAAAAAAAAAACATTGGAACAAGTGTGTTACATCTGGGGCGATTACTTTGAAGGTGACAACATTAATTTCACACACACCTAGTGTTTGGTTTAGAGCTTGCCTCTTAATTATGTGGCAGACGCAGTCTGCAGAGCAACAGAATATCGATGTCGATACGTAGCGGCTACGACATCGCACGGAAGGATGCAGAACAGCAATTAGAACATAACGCGGATTGTTGAAAAATTTCAAACATTCCGATAACAATAGGAGCAACGGCAGGTGCGATTTGCTCGCACCACACCGATATGCAACCCGCATCGTTGGAAATTCTTTGGTTAACAAGTACTTATAAGCTAAAATAATAAGCACCTTTGTTAATTTACAATAATTTAAGATGTTGGATTTGTGCGAGTGTGGGTTCCTGTAATATTTTTATCTTTATCAGTTTGTGGATTTATTTTTTTATTTTATTATTTGATTATTATTTATTTTACAGAAATAAATCAAAATGTTTTTATTTGTCATACACCCTGTAAGAAAATTAAGGAGGATAATTTTGATTTACATGTTTCC